GCCGGGGTGCACGCTGCGCGCCGCGCGGCCGCCGCGCGCCCGTCGCCGGAGTCCGACGTGGTCCGGGGGACTGCGGAGAGGACGGCGGCGGACGATCCACCCGCGGCTGGGCGGCTCAGGGCGGCTCGCGGCCGCGGCGCCGCGCGGTGCTTCGGGCGAGCGGCAACGGCGCGGGCCGCCCTGAGCCACGCGGGCGAGGCCCGGGCGGCGGCCTTGGCGGCGGGCGTGCCGCTGCGGAGCCAGATTGGACACGCGCTGCTAGGGTTAAGCTGGGCCTGTCCCTCTACAGGTGGAATACTCAGAAATAGTAAATCACCAAAATATCCTGGCGAAGGGCCCAACCATACGCAATTCCGAATGCCGCCGTTGTAAGTATCGTCGTTCGTGGAACACCCGATGGGGCCACGAAGCGTGTGAGAGGTGCGCCAAATGGAGGTGGAACTGCATGCGGACCCTGCCACTGGGGCCTTCGGTGGAGCACCCTGTGGGGCCGCGAAACGTGTGAGGGGTGCGCCGAAATGGAGGTGGAACTGCATGCGGACCCTGCCATTGGCGCCCTCGGTGGAGCTCCCTATGGGGCCGCGAAACGTGTGAGGGGTGCGCCGAAATGGAGGTGGAACTGCATGCGGACCCTGCCACTTGGGCCTTAGGCGGAGCTCTCTATGGGGCCACGAAACGTGTGAGGGGTGTGCCGAAATGGAGGTGGAACTGCATGCGGACCGTGCCACTTGGGCCTTAGGCGGGGCTCCCTATGACGCCACGAAACGTGTGAGGGGTGCGCCGAAATGGAAGTGGAACTGCATGCGGACCCTGCCACTTAGGCCTTAGGCGGAGCTCCCTATGGGGCCACGAAACGTGTGAGGGGTGCGCCGAAATGGAGGTGGAACTGCATGCGGACCCTGCCACTGGGGCCTTAGGTGGAGCTCCCTATGGGGCCACGAAACGTGTGAGGGGTGCGCCGAAATGGAGGTGGAACCGCATGCGGACCCTGACACTTGGGCCTTCGGTGGAGCTCCCTATGGGGCCACGAAACGTGTGAGGGGTGCGCCGAAATGGAGGTGGAACCGCATGCGGACCCTGACACTGGGGCCTTCGGTGGAGCTCCCTATGGGGCCACGAAACGTGTGAGGGGTGCGCCGAAATGGAGGTGGAACCGCATGCGGACCCTGACACTTGGGCCTTCGGTGGAGCTCCCTATGGGGCCACGAAACGTGTGAGGGGTGCGCCGAAATGGAGGTGGAACCGCATGCGGACCCTGACACTTGGGCCTTCGGTGGAGCTCCCTATGGGGCCACGAAACGTGTGAGGGGTGCGCCGAAATGGAGGTGGAACCGCATGCGGACCCTGACACTTGGGCCTTCGGTGGAGCTCCCTATGGGGCCACGAAACGTGTGAGGGGTGCGCCGAAATGGAGGTGGAACCGCATGCGGACCCTGACACTTGGGCCTTCGGTGGAGCTCCCTATGGGGCCACGGAACGTGTGAGGGGTGCGCCGAAATGGAGGTGGAACCGCATGCGGACCTTGCCACTGGGGCCTTCGGTGGAGCTCACTATGGGTCCACGAAACGTGTGGCCATGATGGAGACGGCGATGATGATGACGACGATGGTGATAAGAACGATGATGATGATGATGCTGATGATGACGGTGACGATGACGATGATGATGATGCTGATGATGAGAGGAGGAGGAGGAGGAGGAGGAGGAGGAGGAGGAGGAGGAGGAGGAGGAGGAGGAGGAGAGACGCGGGGCACCGTCTCTTCAAAACGAGGACCCAACACCACAGGATGGTTGGGAAAAAAACAGGATGGGGACTATGTTTCGAGTATTGTTTGGCCATTTTGGGGGCATTTTTTGAATATTTTTTTCGTCAAAAATCCCCCTGTAGGGGGACACGCCCGACTTAACGCTAGGGGAGCTGTGTTTTCACTCCCCGAGGGGGGGGGCCACTGGCTTCGACGGCAAAGGCAGCGGCGAGGCAGCCGCACGTCAAATAATAGTCGGTGGACGATTTTTCGTATTTGTTTTTGATATTTTTGGAAGATTATTTGACAATTTTAAATTCTTCGCCCGAAATCCCTCTGTAGGGAGACAGGCCCAACCTAATCCAGGAGCCGTTTCCGTCGGGACCCCTTGCCGCGGTCCATCGCCGGCGAGCCCGCCTTGGCGATCCGCGGCGGTGGCGCGCGCCAAGGCTCGGCGAGGTGGCGGCGGAGAACGCTCCGGACGCGGCCAGGGAGGTCTTTGGCGAGCCTGCGGCGGCGCCTTCCTTCGGGGCAACATCAGCCACGCACAGGGAGGGGTAGGGGAAGGGGGAGGGAGAGGGCTTCTCGGAGGCACCCCTGCCTCTCGGGAGGCGCGGCCCTGCTCTGCAGCTGCAGGGCCGGCGCCTCCCAAGAAGCAGCCTCCTCCCAGCCTCCAAAAGGTATTTCGTGACATGTTCATTGCGCCGTTGCACAGTTATTGTGCCAAGAAGGTTACCGGAGTTCTCAATCCTGGA